AAACAAGTGACGAACACTCCAATTTTTCAACAGGCTCCCGCGTTCCGACACTCACTGGCTCAGACTCACAAACCGATGCAGATGAAGATCTCAGATGTGCCGAGACAAAATGTGCTTGTGGCCGGCCGGAGAGTTCGTGAGTTGGGGCACGGAAGCGCGGGTACAGACGCATGCCGCGCCCTTTTTCCGGGTCTCTCACGCGTCGGTGGCGAAAAGCAGCAGTCTCACTCGACGTCGTCGTCCTCGCTCATGGCGTCGTCGCTCCCCGCGAGGGAGCCATGGAGGGAGCTCTCCGGGCGGCTGCTGCTCGTGCCTGCCTTGCCGCCCTTGTCCGCCTTGGCCTTGTCGGCCGCCTTCTTCGCCTCCACCTTGGGGTCGAGGCAGAAGGTGACCGTCTGCGCGTAGCCGTACGACGACACACCTCCCGTCTTGGTCACGCTGGCATTGGCCGGCGTCAGGCGCGGGAAGCGCTCGCGGTCCGCGCAGAGCGCCGCCGCGAGAGCGAGCGCTCCCTCGGGCCCGCTCTCGCGGCAGGCAAAGTGGACGCGGCGGAGCTGCGGGAGGCCTGCGATGAGGTGTCGGACGCCGTGAGCACCATCGAGGCGAGAGTGAGCTCGACGAGGCTCGTTGGCAGCTCGGCGAGGGCGCCGTCGACGCCTGGGAAGGGGTCCATGCGCTTCCCCTCCTTTCTCTCGCGGCCGCTGACGTACATCGAGCCGTGGTGGATGCAGAGCTTCTCGACGACTGGCGTCGCGGCGAAGATGGTGCGGAGAAAGCTGCCGAGCTTCTCCGAGGTGAGGTGGCCGCCGCTGTAGCTGGCGATGAGCCTCGTGATTGAGAGCTCGAGGAGGCGAGCGAAGGGCTGCGCGAGCTGGCGAAAGGGCTGAGCGTTGGAGAGCCACATCGTGATCTTGAGCTTCTCGAGCTCAGGGAACTGAGAGGGCAACGCCTCGAGAGCTGGCCAGCCGATTCGGCCGCTCCAGCCGCCCGAAAGGTCGAGCGAGGCGAGGAGGGGCGCCGCGTCGCCGCCTCGGTTCTTGCGCCAAGCGTTCGAGAGCTGGCGCAGGACATCCGCTGCGGGGCGGGGCACGGACGGATTAGGGGGACGAATGAGGGTGGGGTGGGGTGGGATGAGGTGGCGGGATTTGAACACCGTCGCAGGTCATGCTCAGCGAGGTGAGATGCGTGGCCTGCCCCAGCAGCCCCACGGTGTCGAAAGGGGTCGCGCCGCACTCGCGGTACGTGAAGCTCTCCAGCGTTGACGCCCACGGCTGCTTTGCCGCAAGGGTGAACACCGCCGCGGTGGCCTTCTTTCCGCCGAGGTCGAGGCTGGTGAGGTTCTTGAAGTGAGAGAGCGTCTTCTTCAGGACGTCGGGCGCGAGGGAGGCGTGTTTGTCGCCCGAGGCTATGCGAAGGCTGCGCACCGTGGTGGCGGCGTCCGGCAGAAACTGCACGAGGCGAGACACATTGGCAGAGCAGATCTTGACGCCCTCGATGGTGGAGTAGCGCCGTGGGCACAGACCCAGGTCCTCGAAGAGCGCCGTGCACGCGCGGAGATGCTTGCACCCACGCCTTGCAGACTGCGATGCAGCACGTCAGCACCGACCCGGTCGAGGGCGCGAGTTTGGAGAGGATCGTGACGAGAAGATCGTCATCGAGCGCGTCGAAAAGGCCTGTGCCTTCCCGCGTTGGACCGCCAGACACCTTTGGCTTGGCGATGACGAGTGTGTGCTTCGCCTCGGGCAGCGCCTGGCGGATCCTCTCGAGCGGAACCGCACCCGACTTGACCGCCTCCGTCAGGAGGCTCTCGAGCGAGGAGCGCGGGAGGCGGGCGAGCAGGACGCCGACGGGCGCCGCGGTGTGGTCGGGTGGTGTTTTGGCGGCCTTCTTGCTACGCTTTGACATCAGATTTTGGCGCCGCTCGCCGCTCTCCGCACGAGCAGCGTCTCAGCGCAAAAAACGCTAAAAAAAGATGAACGCTGTACACACTGTAGTCGGCCCCGTGAACCATCACGGGACTCACAGTCTGCTGTGAGAGCCCCTGTGTGAAGAGTGCGTAAGGGGTTGAAAAAAGACGTGACTTGCGCACAAGAATTTCTGCTGTGGCCACTGGTCGAATGTGCCCTCCATGATGGCGCGCCGCGTCGCCGCGTGGGGCGGGCGGTTGACGGCGTCGACGACAACGACGCCCCACGCCCCAAACCAGTACTATCCGGGGCTACGTCCTGGTGCTAACTCCACGGAGGCGCCGCCTAAGCGACTCCTTCCTGCGAGGGGGGCCAGAGGCACTTTAGCTCCGTGCATGCACTCGAGACAAGAAATCACAGCTCTGACTGTGATTTGGGCTCGGCAGCCCTCATCCGAAAATCTCTCTCGAGACCGCCCGCGGCCCTCGCCACTGGCAAGAAGCTCATTGACGATAGGAAAGAGTCTCTCTCTCTCTCTCTCTCTCTCTCTCTCTCTCTCTCTCTCTCTCTCTCTCTCTCTCTCTCTCTCTCTCTCTCTCTCTCTCTCTCTCTCTCTCTCTCCCTCTCTCTC